CACTTCAAAATCTTTGAAAGGGTACCAAGAAACATATTCGTCATCCTGGATGCAGAACAGTTGCACAAACCAGAGCAGTATGGGTTTAGAATGTTAGGTAAGACACATATGCAACAGTTAGGTATCTTTATTTCGAAACGTTTCGCCTACACAGTAGGCTTCTTCAGTCGAGTACAGAAAAGTTGATAGAAGCAGAAGAGACTTGAAGACGATGTAATCAGTCCATCACCCTTAAAGTTTTGAGGTGGTCAGTCCCTCAGTCTGGAGAAGAGCATTGTTCCATAGTATGAAACAATATGGAGATGAAGTGACAGGATGGAGCCTTATATAGCGCCAAGAGGTGAGACGTAGGTCACTAGAAGAGGTAAGAACTCAGATGTTGGGAGGTCAGGTCCCTCTCAAATCCATCCGTTCTCACTAGTAGAATATTAGTATTATCATGGGGAGAGCGCTAAATCAGTAGGGATTATACAGCGTCTGTGGGGGGGGAGGAGATGGAAGGTATTTAGGCTGAATTCGGGGAACTGGAGCACAGAGCCAATTCTCTAGATCAAGAGCCCCTCACCAGCGTCAAGGAACCTCCCTTGAGGGGGTATAGGTTTAGATCAAGTCGTTCCTACCTCTCACAACTACTGGATCATTATAATATGGTCTTCGATACACTGGAGGACAGACAGAATGCAGAGGTAGAATACACAGACTTTGCCAAAGCCTTTGACAGGTGCGATCATGGTGTAATAGTTCACAATACTCGTTCTAAGGGAATAAATGGAAAAGTGGGCAGATGGATTTTTTGCTTTCTAAGCATTAGAACACAGAGTAATAGTAAGCAGAGTTAAGTCAGAGGCTGCCACAGTCGAAAATTATGCTCAACAAGACATAGTACTCGCCCCCATCCTTTTCGTCGTTCTTATATGTAACATCCTCGTATGTATGCGTTAGTAGTAACAGCCTGGTTGATCAGGCCCTGATCCACCTTGAGAACTGGTCATAAACCAGCCTGCGGGGACGTTGACCCCCAGAATAACCTCCAAGTAGACTCCAGGTAGATTACAAGGAGAGTCAGTCTAGTTACTGGAATTCAGTCCTAGCAAGTGCAAAGTTATCAAAATCAGGAAGAGAGAAAGCAGTATACCTTTGATGAGTTTCGAGAGTTTTCCTACTCCCGGATCCCAGTCCTGGACCAGGCTTGCCTGCTGCTGCTGGCGGCCCACTGGCCTACATATTCATCACAACATAGTTGATCTGGTGCTTAGTGGAGATACTTGTCCAATTTCTTCTTGGAAACTTTTTACACGTGTTCCAGCAGTGTTTCTGATATCTTCTAGTAAGATGTTGAATAGTCTAGGAACACAATGATACAATGTTCTCTCACTGTGCCCACGGCGCCCCGGCTTTCCATTGGGTTTATTGGACATTTTCCCCCATATCTCTCATTCCATAATGTGATGGCAGTACGCAGATTTACGACAAAGCATTCCAGAAGTTTCCAGGTATATATTATCGAGTGCGTATTCAGTACCTTGAGGGGGTTCCCAGTAAATTAATTTTTCTTTCACCAACTGTAATCTTACTGGCTCTTCCCTCAGCCCCAGAAGTTTTCATGATACATATATTCTCATATTTCTGAAAGCCAAAAACATAAGATAAATCGTAATGTATGACGGGGTGGTAGAAGCTGTAAACATAGAATAGGGAAGAATTTGAAGTGAGCATGATGCTGAGCATATCGCCGGGGGAATGACACATCAATAGACCTAACAGCAGCATTCAGGAGCCTTAACAAGGAGCCATTCAGCACGTGTGAGAGGACGCTGGTGCTGGAAGTCAACCTCTTACCTCCCTCCGCAAGCATGTGACTACGCACACACAAACACCATCGAATTGCACAGTCTTGTGAAATATAGCTGAGGCCAGGGTGGTACTTGTTACCAGGGCAGAAGCTTCACTGCCTGGCCCTGGCTCACACACACACACACACACACACACACACACACACACACACACACACACACACACACACACACACACACACACACAGGTGAGGCTGTGTGTAAAGCTTGCCCACGTGTAGTAATAACACTGCAGGGCCCAACACAAACGCAAGCAACCCTGACATTTTCACTGTTTGATAACTGTGAGGCTGGTGCACTGAACGTGCTTGTATACTCTCTTGCAAGCTCTCTCTCTCCCCTTCTCTTCCCTCTCCCTCCCTCTCTCTCTCTCTCTCTCTCTCTCTCTCTCTCTCTCTCTCTCTCTCTCATACATTCCTCTTCCCCCCGTGCGTGTGATGGGTAAATCCCGTGTAATAAAGATTATTCCAGTTCCTCTGGAAGACAAATCTCTGGAGGTGCCGTAGCTACCCAGCTCACAGTAGGATGCTTGACGACATCCTCATTACCCTACTCAAGTCTTCCAGCTCAGGCTGACAGATTTCAACACCTGTGTAATGGAATAAGACATGGAAGGGGGGGTACCTAGCTGGTTTCTGTTCCCGCTGTGTAATCATCATTTGGAAACCCTAGTCTACACGATACTCACACAGGGGGAACAACAGTACACTGCTGATGTATCCGACTTTCTTGACCTGGGAAAAAAACAACTTTTCCCCACCCTGTATTTCCTCCCCCACCCCCATTCCACCCCCTCCCCCTCATCACCACTACTAAGGTTGAAGCTATGATCAGGTTTGGCCCTTTTAGTCAGCGCTCGCCGGAAGTGCTCCTGACACATTCTCGTCACCGGAATGTAAACACCAGTTTACTGTCACCTTCACTGAGGGTTTACCGTCACCTTCACTGAGGGTTTACCGTCACCTTCACTGAGGGTTTACCGTCACCTTCACTGAGGGTTTACCGTCACCTTCACTGAGGGTTTACCGTCACCTTCACTGAGGGTTTACCGTCACCTTCACTGAGGGTTTACCGTCACCTTCACTGAGGGTTTACCGTCACCTTCACTGAGGGTTTACCGTCACCGTCATTGATGATTTACAGCAGTATATGTGTGTGTGTGTGTGTGTGTGTGTGTGTGTGTGTGTGTGTGTGTGTGTGTGCGTGCGTGGGTGTGTGTACACCCAGTTGTTGGGGGGGGGGTCGAAACTCAGTTCCTAACCACACCAATCAACTTGCAATTGATCGGGGTTATTTTTTCTGGACTTTTTTTTTTGGGGGGGGGGTGTATCAAACGCTTTTGACATGGCTTTGAGTTTGCCTCTGCCAGTTCCTCATCTGTCTCATTCCGCTTGTTTACCATCCTGAGACACAACTATTTAATAGCATCCTTCTGGCTCATCTGTGCATATACAGTGCTAGTCACGGCATTATGCCGGGGCGCTCACCCGGTATAACCCCGTGACTAGCACTGTAGCTTCAAATAGGTGGGTGGGAATGCTTAGTTTTTGAGAAGGACCTGCCTTGTGTGGGCCAGTAAATCTGCTTCAATGTTTCTCCATTCGTATGTTCTGATGTGTCATATCGTTCCCCTGGTTCGCATCTCAACCTCTCATTATTCGTTCTTCAGTTCTTACGAGTTTTATCTTCCACTGTCTAGTGTGTGTTTAGTTGTACAAGGATGAGGGACTGTTTGTCTTGTGGTCTTCTGTATCCGGTCTCAACACCTTGTATTCCAAAGGTGTATAATTCGTCATCTTGTACGTCATAATTATGTCTTCCTAAGTGAAGTGTATGTAGGAGAGACACAAGGGTACGTTTCGCCTACTTGGGGTTTCTTCAGTCGATTTAGTTGACGAAAATCTTGGTCTAGTGGTGAGCGCATTGACTGAGTATTTTTTTTTAGGGTAGTCTTGCCATGGGTTCGAGTCCTACCCTTCCCTCGATAATGTTTTCCTTCTGGCCCTTCTCTCCTCTGAGGTGGTTAGGGTAGGTTCCTTGGGCTGCAAACCCCTCCACTCTCAATATTCTCAAATCTCTGCCCCCCCCCCAAAAAAAAAAAAAATTAGCCCATCCGTCTCTTTTCTCATTGATTTCTACGACAATCAAAGTACCCGAAATAATAATTTGATTTACCAAATTCTGCTGATCTGAAACCGAACTTTGTGATTTTTTGAATGATCACTGATATATATATATATATATATATATATATATATATATATATATATATATATATATTATATTGAGAAAGGCCTATATTTAAAAGGGTCATCTCTGCCAGAACCGATAGTCTAGTTTATCTGTATATTATTGCTGATTTTTTTTTATATCCCTGTTGCATGTTATTTTCAATTCCATTTTTTCTGTACATGGCATATAATACAGAGGAGATGAAGAATTAGACACATGTGCAACATCTGGGTATCTTGTAGACGTTTCGCCATCCAGTGGCTTTATTAATACAAGTTCAAGGACATAATGTGAAGAATGTAGAACTATATACACAAGATGAGGTAATCAGTCCCTCAGCCTTGGAGTTGGTGAACAGCACCGTGGTCTTGAAGAATCTGAAGTACAGGCACTAGGATCGTCGCTTATATACTGGCGTCAGATGAGGGACGTGCAGAAGACGAAGGCATTGGTCACTGGTAGGTGGAAATCCCTCTTACTAGTGACAATGCCTTGTCTGCTGCACGTCCCTTTCTCTGAGGCTCTGCAACACGTATTGGTTTGGGCGATTCCGTTTTGGCTTCGAAAGGCCTCAAATTTGCCCTCTAACAGTCACGGTTTTGCAGCACTTGCTCTACCCTTCCTATCACACTGAGTAGCAGGTCACTGTACAAGGGGACATAAAAGAGGAGAAACACTGTAGCAGGCCTACTGGCCCCTGCTAGGCAGGTCCGGTTATAATTTTAACCTTAATTTTTAAAGGGGTGGACCGATAAGCCAACGGAAGGCCTCGGTCAGATGCCGGATGACAGACCCGCGTCAGGAAATACTTGTCTTGTTTCCTGACAAGCCCGAGCTAATCTAACCTAGGCAGGCCCAACTAGCATCCTCCTACATCCACTCGCGTTACCTATCCAGCCTATTTTTCTTTTTCAGATCTGCCCAAGGTTCAGCCATCAATGACGCTACACGGGACTTTGCGTCAGGATCTCTTGGTTGATCACACCATGTAGAGCACTCACTGATGCTATCTGGGTGTGCTTGGCTCCAGGCCCTGTCTGTGTTTGACCACCATGCGGGAAAAATTCATTCCTCTTTCAGTAGAGGCACGTCTCACCCGCTGATATTGTTCTCCGTACTGATAAACCCCTTAATGATCACAGAGCGAGGTGTGTTTATCCCCAAGGTGAAGAAACCGTAGTTAGTAGCTCACTGTGGTTCACACAGAGCTGCCGTACTCCATGTGGAAAACAGACTTGGCAGTCCACACGGAGGCTATGTGCTGAGAGCTATACACTTCCACCTAGCCTTAAAGACTATTGTTTATAGTGTATGAGACGAGGAATGAAGAGCAGAAGTCTCTCTCTCTCTCTCTCTCTCTCTCTCGCACTACCTCAACCTCCAGCGAGGCCGCCTCCTTCAGCACCGGCTCAGAGATAGCCTTGAAGCTGGCTTCTCACGAAGACCATCGACCTTCAGTCAGGTCGGTCTGCCTGGAGGGTTTTCTGGGGGTCAACGCTCCCGCGGCCAGGTCCGTGACCAGGCCGAGTCTCTTCCTTCACACCTCAGTAGAGGGTGAACGCCTTCTGGGGCGTTGTATATATATCCGACGTAGTTTGTATCATAGAAACCTGACGTCTGATGCACCTGTTACAGGAATCTTGCGTCTGTTTTATGTATAACAGGAATATGACGTCTGATGCAAATATATTAGAAATCCAACGTCTGTTTTATGAATTATAGGTGGCGTCTGCTATATGTATCATTGGAATCTGACGTCTGATTTATGTTTGACTGGAATCTGACATCTATTGTATCATAGAAATCCGACGTCTATTGCATGTATCCTTTCAATATGATGGCTGCAGTATGTATTGAAAGTTAAGACACATGTGCAACATCTGGGTATCTTTACTGTAGACGTTTCGTCATCCAGTGGCTTTATCAATACAAATTCTCGAACATAACTAGAAGACAGTAGAACTATATACAAAAGATGAGGTAATCAGTCCCTCAGCCTTGGAGTTGGTGTGAAGAGCACCGTAGCTGTAGAGATTATGGATCACAGACGAGGAGGCTGGCGCTTATATAGGCGTCAGTGCATAGGGACGTATAGCAGACAAGGGCATAGTCACTGGTAGGCGGGATTCCCCAGTGGAAGTACATGTAAGTCATACCCAAAGGGATGGGAAGAAGGTCTTGTAGATGTCCTCTGAACCAAGATTCCATGATGTTGCAGTGTCTGACAAATTGTGCAAGAAAGGTATACTTTACCGAGAAGATGTATTGCTGGACTCTGACCTCTGCTATATGCATCCCTGGAATCAGACTTCTGATGTATGGGTGACAGGGACCTAACTGGTGCTTGTTTGCTATGAAAAGTATCGTATACTGGTAAGGACAGGACAGGCAGAGCCTTGGAGACAAACAGGTAGAATCTTGCGTACAAGACAGGTAGAATCTTGCACACAAAGCAGGTAGAATCTTGCGTACAAGACAGGTAGAATCTTGTGAATATGATAATGGTATAAAAGTTCACAAGATACATGTGCAACAGTTAGGTAGCTTTAAGAAAAAGATTAGAGGTATAAATGAACGGTAGTTAGTGTGTGTGTGTGTGTGTGTGTGTGTGTGTGTGTGTGTGTGTAAGTGTGTAAGAACTGCCTAGCATGGGCCAGTAAACTATCTGCAACTCAAATTCACTCAATGTGGGAATATTTGACACTAAGCTTTGTCGAACCCGCATGAGCTACAGCTTACATTGTGCTGGTATTTTGAAACACCCTGTAATCAGTAGGCCTACTGCCCAAGAGCATAAGAAATGTGGAACATTTCAGTAGGCCTGTTAGACCGTGCAAGGTGTTGTCTCGCTCGTGTGTGTTCTTGTGTCGTTGTGTTTAGTGTTGTCGAGGCTACTGAGGGTTCTCCCCCTACCTCTTAACCAGACATAGACTGGCAAGACGACAGACATGAAAAATGTTGATGGGTTCGTTGTGTTGACACATTCAGCACGTTCGTTGCGTTGACATATCCAACTCATTCATCACATTGGTACATTCAACAGGCCAGCACATTCACTTCAACAGGCACATTTTATACCCGGATTTGATGTATTCGAAAAGTATATTCGAAAATTTGTGTGTGTGTATACAGAAGGATTGGCCAATACTTGGAGGAATACATACTTGGAGGAATTCGGCCAAGTGCCGTGGGCAACACTCTTCGCCGCATCGTTTCCAAAGCTTCTGTCCGAAGTATTCGCACAGAGGCGACCATGATGCTTCAACCAAACCAGCTTGGCTTTGGGGTCCCTCAAGGAAACTAAGGGCCTATATCAACAAGGGCCTATATCAACAAGGGCCTATATCAACAAACTGCCTGAGCACAATGCAGTAGTAAAATTAGATTTCAAGAATGCATTTAATCTCCTGAAACGAGACTTGGTAATAACAGCTGTGCAAGAACATTTCCATGATGTCTACCCTTTTGTTTCAGCTTGATACAGCAGGAATCAATGATCATGTTTGGAGAACGTGAAATCACGTCATTAGAGGGCGTCCAGCAAGGGCATCCTCTCGCACCATTTCTCTTCAGTATAGCGGTAAAGACAAATCACTGTCAGGCTGATCAGTGGGTTAATCATCTGGTTCCTGGATGGTGGCACACCGGCGGGTACAAAGGAATCCCTTCTAAATGATCTTACACAGGTGGTGACACGGGGACAGGAAATGGGACTCATCCTGAATCCATCCAAATGTGAAATCATCTCAGTCAATCAACAAATGATCGACGCAGTGAGATCAAGACTGCCAGATGAATCAGTCATTGCCCACACAAATAGGGTCTTGCTTGGAGCACCTCTGGGAAATGATGCCGTTGACTCAATTCTCAGGAAGAAACTGGACGATTTTAGAAGAATGGAACAACGAATAGGCAATCTTGACACCCACGATGCCTTGTACCTTCTCACAAAGTGCGTGAGTCTGCCCATATTTCCTAAGATATGCACCCTTATATGATAGCCCTATACCGCATGAATAAGACAGTATCCTGAGGCACATTTTTTGCTAAAGTACTCAACTTTACTATAGAAGACGAACAATGGACAAGCTACACTTCCAGTCAAACTAGGAGGTATTGGGGTCCGCGACGCATCAAAGATTGCACTACCTGCTTTCCTGGCCTCATCATGTGTTGCATCCAGTGGACTTGGAGCAGCGATTCTCCCTAAACACCTTAGGGACAATATTCATGACCAAAAGTTCGTTGACGGAGCCACGCTCTGGGATTGTGTAACGGGCTCTGAAACTGGACCTGCTTTCCCCTACAACTACAATCACACTGGGATGGCCCAATAGTGGAGAATATAGCCTTAACAATGGTTCAGAGAGCTCCTCATGCAGAGGACTTCCTGTTGGCTGTTCCCAGCTCCTCCCTTGGCACACGTCTCGACCCACAGACTATCCGCATTGGTGTTGCCCTTCGCCTTGCCATCCCTGATCTCGCCAAACGCAGGTGAATTTGCGGCAGTGAATCGGCAGACAAATTCGAGTACCATGGTCTTGTGTGGCGTAGATCCGAGGGAAAGATTTCAAGACACGAAGAGCTTAATAACATCATCAAGAGGAGCCTCACAGCAGCCGGATGCCCAGCAATAAGGGTGCCACCCCAGTTTTGCAGATCTGATGGTAAACAAAATCGTCCAGATGGTATCACCCTTCAAGCCTGGACAAATGGCAAGCAGGTGGTGTGGGACTACACATGTGTATCCACAATGGCTGATATCTATTTCCAGTAATCCAGGGGAGAAGCAGAGGCAGCTGCCAGCTTCAGGGAGTCCTAAAAGTCTAGAAAATACTGTGAAATTCCTCATCATTATATGCTTGTTCCCATAGGATCAAAGACCCTTGGTCCATGGGAAAAGAGTGCATCTAAGTTCCTCAAAGAGCTAGGCAAAAGACTCATCAGGGTAACTAGGGATTCCAGAGGGGTAATGCCTGCTGATCTTCGGTATGCACCCCAGCTCTGAAGAGCTGGATGAGATTTTCGCATTGTAATCTGTGATAAACACGTAAAAATATGTTCTTGAAATGTATCCCTCAAACCTCATGTACTGTAAATGCCATCTTTGTACCAGCAATGTATCTTTTAAATCTTGTGTATCATATTATATAAAATATTCCTACTGGTAAAAAAAAATTAACCCTTGAGCATACCACTGCAACGAGTGTCTTCGCAACATGAAACAAGCCTAGTTTGCTAGGCTCATGTTGTTTGTAGGATCGATGGCTGAGTGGATAAGGTGACATGCATATTGTGTGGCCTCTTGAGGACAGGACAATGTGTCGTGGGGTCGATTCGTGGCCTACCGCAGTTTGGTAAATGAGATTATATATATATAGTGTGTGTGTGTGTGTGTGTGTGTGTGTGTGTTGACTTATCCGAAAATTTGTGTATCGGGGAGAGAGAGAGAGAGAGTGGTTGCCGTTAGCTTGACACGTCCCACAAGACAACAGCAGATGGTGGGCCGGTTGATGTAATTAACTCGGCCGGAGCGGAAGGAAGCTCTTCCGGATACAGTGTGGTTTCCGTTCTTACCCGAACACGGGATCGGCTACACCGGCCACGGACGCGTATCCAACACTGATTGTTGCCTCACTTGGATGTTGCTGTCCTCTCCGGGAAGGCCAGGGATGGGGGTCGAACCCACGCCCACATGATAGTGGTAATGTGGTCTTGTTTATCCGATATCTATCTGTAACCAGCTTGGAAGCCCAGCCCCGGGACCAGCCTGTCCTAGCTGATTGCCTGGAGCAACCAGACTTGCTGTTGGCGAGATTTTAAGCCCCTTGGCAGCACGGTTGCCATATCTGAAGAGATATAACCTTCAGATATGAAGTTATACTTGCACCGTACCTGGTCAAGCACTGGACCGTGTGGGCGTTGACCCCCGGAACACCCTCCAGGTAGTTCCCAGGGCTACACCCGCTAGGACCCACTGTATCCTGATTCCAGGGGTCAATGCCCCTGCGACCCAGTAACAGACAAGGCCCCACCAATCTTTCTTATCCTTTCTGTCCCTTATTCTGTCGGCTCCTCCAGGCTTCCCTCCCCCCCTTTCCTTAATTGTTTGGCTCCCACTTCTCATTCTCTACCTCCTCCTCCTCCTCCCCCTTCCTTTCGGTCCTCTATAAGTACTTTCCCCTTCCCCTTCTCTCTTTTCTCTCCCCCTCCCCCTGACATCCTTCATCTTCCCTACATTTCATAACACAGTTCCTTATCGAGCTGTCATAGTGGTGTTTGTACGGCTTATAGGAGCCAGGTATCAGGTTTCCGCCTTGTGAGTGTGGTGCTGAGGGTGTGGATGTAGTGGTGAGGGCGTGGGTGTGGTGGTGAGGGTGTGGATGTGGTGGTGGGGGTGTGGATGTAGAGGTGAAGGCGTGGGTGTGGTGGTGAGGGTGTGGATGTAGTAGTGAGGGTTTATGGATGTGGTGGTGAGGGTGTGGATGTAGTGGTGAAAGTGTGGTTGTGGTGGTGAGGGTGTGGATCTGGTGGTGAGGGTGTAGGTGTGGTGGTGTAGGTGTGGTGGTGAGGGTGTGGTGTGGGTGTGGTGGTGAGGTGTGGGTGTGGGCTGTGGTGGTGAGGGTGTGGATATGGTGGTGAGGGTGTGGATGTGGTGGGGAGGGTGTGGATGTGGTGGGGAGGGTTGTGGGTGTGGTGGTGAGGGTGTGGATGTGGTGGTGAAGGTGTGGGTGTCGGTGTGGTAGTGATGTGGGTGTGAAGATGACGTAGGTATGGTGGTGAGGTTTTGGGGGTTGTCCTGAAGGTGTGGGTGTCCCGGGAGTGAAGGATGGGGGTATGTGGCCAGGTTAGGGGTGTGGGCCGGCTGGGGTTTGTGCGGGCTGGGAGGTGTGTGGGCGGGCTGTGGGTATTTGGGCGGGCTGGAGGTATGTGGGCGGGCTGCGGGAGAGTGTGGGGAGGATGGTGGAGGGTGTGAGCGGGTTGGGGGAGGGTGTGGGTGGGCTGGGGGAGGGTATGGGCGGGCTGGGGGAGTTTTCACAAGGTTGGTTAATTATTTCTAATAATTATTAATTACAAAAGTGTCATTAAAGTTACAAGTCTCCTATACAGCAGCGACAAGCCTGGTCATGGACCAGACCGCGGGGGCATTGATCCCCGCAATACCCTCCGGGTAGGTAGACTTCAGCAGTCCTGTATACCAGCAGTCAAGATTCCAGCAGTCCTGTAGCTTACCTGTAGCCACTTCCCGTAAACACCGCCCCTATGCCCCGGTCCCATACCAGGTCTCCTGGCTGCTGATTTATTCTAACAAGCTGTTGGAGGCCGCTTCCCACAAGCCAACGTATGCACCACAGCCCGGCTGATCAGGAACTGATATGAAGAACCTGTCGAGTTCCAGTGTCAGTAGTGTGTCACTGATTAC